GTATTTCCAGCCATAAAGGTCTGAAGGACTGGTAAGTACAGTGTGAAGACAAAGTCTTCTTTTCATTTGTTGATTTATTTCTAGTTTTCAACATTTGCTTTTATGAGATTTTGAGTTCTAAATCCTCCCCCCCTTTCCCCTCTCCAAGACAGCATGCAATCTGATATAGGCTATACATATATGATTATATTAAACATATTTCCACATTAGTCATGTTGTGAAAGAAGGATTAGAAGAAAAGGGATAAACCATGAGAAAGAAAAAAAAACAACAACAAAAAAAAGAGAAAATAGCATGCTTCGATCTGTATTCAGACTCCATAGTTCTTTCTCTGCATGTGGATAGCATTTTCCAGCGTGACTTTTTTGGAATCGTTTTAGATCATTGTATTACTCAGAAGAGCTAAGTCTAACAAAGTCGGTCATCGAACAATGTTGCTGTTACTGTGTACAGTGTTCTGGTTCTGCTCACTTCACTCAGCATCAGTTCATATAAGTCTTTCTAGGTTTGTCTGAAGTCCACCTGCTCATCATTTTCCCCTTTTTTTAAATATAAATTTATTTATTTTTAGTTTTCAACATTTACTTCCACAAGATTTTGAGTTCCAAATTTTCACCCCATCTTGCCCCTTCCCCCCACCCCAAGATGGCATGCATTCTGATTACACCTTCCTCTGGTCTACCCTCTCTTCTATCTCTCCCCCCCCTTCTCTTATCCCCTTCCCCTTCTATTTTCCTGTAGGGCATGATAGACTTCTGTACCCCATTTCCTGTATTTCTTATTTCCCAGTTGCATGTGAAAACATTTTTTTTAAACATGTGTTTTTAAAACTTTGGGTTCCAAATTTTCTCCCTTTCTCCCTCCCCACCCACCCTCATTGAAAAGGCAAGCAACTCAATATAGGTTATATAGGTGCAGTTATGCAAAACACTTCCATAGTAGACATGTTGTGAAAAATTAACTCTATTTCCCTTAATCCCATCCTGCCCCCCATTTATTCTATTCTTTCTTTTGACCCTGTCCCTCCTCAGAAGTATTTGCTTCAGATTACCCCCTTTCCCAATTTGCCCTCCTCTCTGTCATCCCCTTGCTCTCTTGTCCCATTCCCCTTCTTTTTCCTGTAGGGTAAGACAGATTTCCATACCCAATTGAATGTGTATGTTATTCCCTCCTTAAGCCAAATCCTATGAAAATAAGATTCACTCATTCCTTCTCACCTTCCCCTGTTTCCCATCCACTGTAACAGCCTTTTCTTTTCTGGTTTTTTTTTGCGAGATAATTTATCCCATTCTACCTCTCCCTTTTCTTCTTTTCCTAGTATAATCCTCTCTCATCCCTTAATTTTATTCTCCAGATATGACTCCTTAATCTTCAACTCACCCTGTGCCCTCTATCTATCTATCTATCTATCTATCTATCTATCTATCTATCTATCTACATACATATAATTTTTTCCTCCAACTACCCTAATACTGACAAAGTCTCATGAGTATAAATATCATCTTTCCATGCAGAAATGTAAACAGTTCAACCTTAATAAGTCTCTTATGACTTCTTTTTCCTGTTTACCTCTTCATGTTCCACTTGAGTCTTGTATTTGAAAGTCGAATTTTCTGTTCAGCTCTGGTCTTTTCATCAAGAATGCTTGAAAGTCCTCTATTTCACTAAATGACCATTTTTTCCCCTGAAGGATTATACTCAGTTTTGCTGGGTTCATCATTTCTTATAGCACAATAGTATTCCATTAGATTTATATACCACAACTTGTTCACCCATTCCCCAGTTGATGGGCATCCTTTCACTTTCCAATTCTTGGCCACCACAAAAAGAGCTGCTATAAATATTTTTGTGTATGTTGGTCCTTTCCCCTTTTTTTTCGTTCTTTTTGGGATACAGACCTAGAAGTGGTATTGCTGGGTCAAAGGGTATGCACAGTTTTGTAGCCCTTTGGGCATAGTTCCAAATTGGTCTCTAGAATGGTTGGATCAGTTCACAACTCCACCAACAATGCATTAGTGTTCCAGGTTTCCCACGTCTTCTCCAACATTTATCATTTTTCTGCTTTGTCATGTTGACAAAGTCTTGTAATTGGCTCAAGGATTGGTTGTTGAGCCATAATTGAGTAGCAGACGAACTGCCCACTTAGCAATCTCTTTCAATTTGTCCCCAAGAACCAGATGAGGGGATAGGCAGTCATGTATCATGGTGGCTATGAGCACATGGCCAACAGTCTCTTTTGCATTTTCTTCTGAGATGACCCAGCAGCAATGATAAGATGGAAGTATCCAGGCAACCTGGTGAATTTGAGAGATCCAGAAGTCTCGCAAAACTGCATGACTCCTTACAGTAGAGAAGAATGCTGGCTATGAATTCTAAAAAGGTATAGATCTTGGGAGCTTCGCTGAGCAGCCTGCCTAAAAGAAAGCTTACATGTAAAGGGAATTTCATGAGAACTCCAAGGAGAAAAGTGTTTCCAATGAAGGAGCTATGTTACTCCTTTTTTACATCTATTCTCTACCTAATTACCATTGCACTTTAATTTTCAGCCCACTTTCCCCACAAATGCTGTGTGTATTTGTAGAATAGTGTGCCCCAGGATTTGTGAGTATGTGAAATATTTTGTACCAAGTGTTCCTGCCATACCTTCTTAGTAAACAAAGACTTTGTCTAAAAAGCTAATTAAATCTGGCGGGCTGATTATTAGTGGGAAACATCCAGGTGGGGACTTATAGAAACTAGGCCTAGAAACCTAGTCCCTAAAACACTGAAGGTAGTAGTCAGCCACTCTTTGGGAGCCTTAAACTTCATATCTGAGTTGGAGTGTGTGTGTGTGTGTGTGTTTGTGTGTGTGTGTGTGTGTAGTTTGTTGATTATATTACAGAAAGAAAAGGTCTAGCTTTACCGAATCTGCCCTTATCCACTTAGGGTTCATTTTAGGATGCTATCACTGCCAAAATAGTGATGAAATGGTCAGGAAACTTGTGCTTACCAGGGTGCCTGGCACCTAGTAGACACTTAACAGTGTTTACTGACTACTGATTAGTAGGTCTTATCGGTCACAGACATTTGAAAGCTTAGAGTATACCACTTCTTTTTTTAAATAATTAATTTATTTTTAGTTTTCAACATGTACTTCCATAAGATTCTGAGTTTTAAATTTTCTCCCCTCCCTCTCCTCTCACCCCCAAGATGGCGTGCAACCTGATATAGGCTCTACTTATACATTCATATTAAGCATATTTTTACATTAGTCACGATAGCATACTACTTCTAAGCTCTTTGTTTTATAGTTGAGGAAACTGAGGCCCAAAGAAGGGAAATGACTTGTCCAAGGTCACACGCCTAGCAAGTGACAGAGCAAGGATTTGAACCCAAACCTCAAAGGTTCTTTGTTCTATTGCCAATCTTTAGGTGTTCTTTTTTGCCAGAACCATCGAAATCAAACCAAACTAAAAACTTAAAACAAAACTAACAACGTAGCCCCACCATGTTCGAGGCCCTCCTTGACAACTAGTGGTCCCCAAAGGAATCAGTGAATCTGCTGCAATACTAGAGCCTTCTGCATTCTCAGACTAGGGCGGTGCTGGCGGAAAGGAACAGCTTTTGTTTTGTTTTGTTTTTCTGTTTGTTTATTTGTTTGTCTTTAAACTGTATTTCTAGCCTTACTCCAGAGGTCTTAAGTGCTGGGTTAGCTTCTAAGTGGACTCAGTCTCTGTCTCCTAGATAACATCCCCGCCCCACCTTCGATCCGTTCCCTAGGCAACCCTCCCTCTCAACACAGACAATGAAAACCAGGCTTTTCCTCCGCTTCATCTCCTTGACAACTCCAGATCCTTGGACAGTTTTTGGGCTCAGTCATCCCAGGCTAAGGCCACGGGGTCCTTAAGCCACTCCGCCCCGACCGCAGTCCCTCCGCGGACACCAGTAGCCTGCAGTGGTACATCAGTCAAGGCCATTCTCCCTGCGGATTCTGGACGTTCCGCACATTTACCTTTTCAAAACTCGCGGGCTTCCTCGGTCCTGCCCCCTTGGAGTTCCTACTAGGGAGCTATTTCGCGAGATCATCACCCTCCTCTCAGCTCCGCCTCTCCTTTCCTAGTCCCACCCATTCCGTCGCAGAGCACCAGCACCTCCCCGCCCTCTTCACATCTGGAATTTCTGTATGCCCAGCCACCAGAGAAGCCAGTCAGCCCAGGGAACTATATACATAACTCATATTTCTATGGAGCTTTAGGGTTAGCTAAGAGGTTTCCTCACAAAACCGCCCCGCGAGGCAGTTCAATTCAATTCGCTTCAGCTCAACGAGCATTAATATTAAGCAACCGTCTACCAAGTGCAGGCAATGTGCTAGGTGCGGGGGTATAGAGAGACAAAAAGGAGACAGACCCTATTTTCAAGTAGCTTTCATCTGGCTGCAGGACGGCAACGGAATGGAGAGGGAGTAAGTGAGTCATGTACACCAGTCACTCAGCTGTGATTTCACTGGTTTAGAGAACTTCCAGTGAGAAAATTCGGCCGATGCAGGTTAGCAGCTGGTCTGCAATTTATAGTTTTTAAAGGCTTAGAGCGCCGAGAGGTTAAGTGACATACTCTCCAGGTGTCTCACAGGCTGGATGTTGTCAGAAGGAGGACTCCGATCAAAATATTCCTGACTCGCCAGCACTATTTATCCACTTCTCCATGCTGCCTCTCCCTGTAGAATATCTACAGGGCAAATGCGAACTAATTTTAGTGGGTGGTGGTGGAGAAAAGCACAAGCCACCAGGGGAGAGGATCAGGAAAGGCCTTCTATAGAAAGGAGTCCCTGAACTGTGTTTTGAAAAAAGATAGAGATCCTAATAGGTCATCTTCTAAAGAAGTACGCATAGGCATGAGGCAGAGTCAAAAACATAATTTAGGGGGAAAGTAAGAGTTTCAGGCCAATTTGGCCAAAGCAATGTATCATGATTGTGAAATCAGTCTAGAAAGGTAGGTTGGAATCAGATTGCGAAGGCCTTGTGTCAGACAGTGACGTTTATATGTTATCCTGGTCAATAGGGAGTAACAGGGAGTTAGTGAAGCTTCTTGAGCTGGAATGACATGCTCAAGAATAGAATGACTGCATCGCAGTTCGATGATTCTTAATGCTTAGTATCTTCGAAGAGAGAACCGTTGTGTGAGACCACTCCAATGCCGTGTATGTTCAGGATTCCCGAAGGCGGGATGTTCCAGCAACAAGGCCAACATCTTTCCTCCACGGTCAGAGAGACCTTCGCTGTCCCATTTCACATTCCCATTTTCCCTCCTCCTCTCTCCTCCCTTTCCCTCCCCCTTCTACCGGAGGCGGGACCCAAGCGGGATTAAACAGTTCTGGTACTCTAACCCAGATGAATTAAAATTCCGGGGTCGCGGCTGCTGTTTAGCTGAATACATCATCCCCTCTGCTCCCCACTTTCATGTGTTTCCAGTTTTCTTCATACACTCGCCAACCCCAGCCCCCGGCGCCACGGTGGCGCTGGCTGTGGTTGTGACAGGGTCCCCACCCTCACCAGCCCAGCAGCCTGTAATCAGGAGCTAAAGTGACGTACAACTGGGGGCCAGCCCGTCCTTCCGGCCCCCGCCCTGGTTTAGTCAGACTCGATTTTAATCCCCTTAAGGCAGAGATTTCTGGGGCCGCCGCACCTGCCAGGCAGCCTGGTCGGATGTGAAGAGCAAGAAGAGAAGGGGAGGGGCGGGGAGAAGCGGCCCAAATGTGTTAGAGACAGATGTGGGTTCTGGATTTACCAATTTCTGGCTCTTTCTCTTGGGTGGAGAAGAGAAGAAGGGGATGGGGATGGGAAAGGAAATGGGAATAGAGGTTTAAGAATATTACTCCCTGTGTGCTCAGTCCTGAGTTAGTCCAAGCTATGGGAGAGGCACAGAAGACGCAGACCCGATCCTCAGGGAACTCATAGTCTGCAGCAGACTGGAAACGTAACAAATTAACTCATGTAGCACCTGGGCCCCTGTCCCACTACTATTGTGGGGAATATGACTCAGGCTTGCTTAGCCTGTGGTCCGGAGGCAGTAGCACTCAACAATGAGTTCTCTCAGGCTTCCCTAATCCTCTAGTCTTCCACTGGACACTTCTTAAGCCCCCAGTGTTGGTCTCATCCATCCCATTCTTCTCCCTTCCCCAGTATTCCAACCCCTCAGTCTTCCCCAATGCCCAGTCTTCCAGTCTTCCCCAGTACCTCTCTGTTCCAACCCTTCAGGATAATAGTCTTCTTTTTCTCCCAGCCTTCCAATACTCCAACGGCTCAGTCTTAAAGGCCTCCTGTCTCCCAGCCTCCAAGCTCTGTCTCCCAGCCTCCAAGCTCCGTCTTCCATTCTTCCAGGTCCTCAGCCCGAGTATTTTGGCTTCCCCATCCTACAGTCAACACAGAGCCTCCAGTCTCCGCAGTCCTCCCATTCTGTCAATTTCCCAGTCTCTCGTCTTCACACCCGTTAAATGTTATCTTGTCTCCCAGTTCCGCAGTCTCTCAGCACCCCCCTCAACTCCCTCCCCCGTCCCGGGAAAACAATGTCCAGCTCTTGGCCTCGCTCCCGGACTCCCATCCCTCTCTCCAGGCCATAGGGTGTCAGGTTACAACGCCTTGGCTCACTCACTGTAACCTTGGGCCGTTTAAGGCTAGGGGTGGGAGGTGGGGGTGACCAGCTGGGTCTGGGCTGCTGCGAACAGGAGGCCTTAGTGTGGGGGAGAGGGGGAGGTTGGGCGCGTCGCGAGGGCGGGGAGAGGGGGCGGAGGAGCTGCTCTCACAATTGCTGTCCTCAGGGTTTCTTCTGAGAGCCTGGGGCCCAGAACCGAGTTGGGTCTGGGGGCCTAACAGACAGAGCTGTTTGCTCAGACGGATTCGAGCATCCCAACAACCCCAGTCGTCAATTCCCTAGTTCCCTGCCTAGAGCTGCAGCTGTTCTCTGGGGACCAAAAACAAGGTGAGTGACTGGGGGGAGGGAGCCTAAGAACCCGGGAGACAGGGCGGAGTTAGTCGTGGCGCACAATCGCAACTCCATCATTTATAGCTCTCTCCCACTAGGTCCCCCCCAAAAAAAAAATCTGGCCCAGTCCTATTCGTGGCAGTGACCGGGAATTATTCACCCCGCCCGCCCCCTCCTCGCCCTCCAAGGGCAAGAGCCAGGGAAGTAGAGCAGTTTCCTCTCTTTAAGCGGGTGAGTACATTCCCTTACTCCTTACCGGAGATCCTTGATTTGTGTGACCTTGAAGGAGGCCAGCAACTTCTCCTGTGCCAGTTGGCTTAATAGAAACTCCGAGTTAGGGCACTGCCCTCCAAGGCCCTAGGAGTGATGTGTCCGGGGAGACGGTCTGTACTGTAGGAAAGGGGATACAGAGGCCTAACTCAATGTGAGGTCTGAGAATGGGGAAGAACATCTTGAGGAAATGGGATCTTTGAAAGGCGTAGGGAAAAGAGGGGCAGGGAAGCAGGAGGAAAACCGAAGTTTGGAAGCAGAAGTTGTGGATTACTATCCGAAAAGGATAGAGTTTGGAGGATGTGGATGGGACAAGAATAGGTTTGGAGAGATGAATTAGGGATAGCGCAGATTAGGAGAAGGGAGGCAGAGGAAGGATGGGGTTTCGGTTTGTAGGAAAAGAGGAGGGCCAGGGAAGACGGAACTAGGGGAATCTGGCCATTTTCTCTTTGGTCCGTGACTTCCCTGACCCCTCTTCTCTCTCCCACAGTGTCCAAAAGGTTAATGTCTGGGACACAGGGGTCTGAGTGACAGGCTCCAGTGACCTCTGACGATGTCTCGGCAGCCAGTGGTCCCGGCCCCGGTTTTGGCAATCCTCTTGCTCCTTCAGCCTCTGCCCCCCTCCAGCTCCCGTCCCCCCCCAGGCCCTGACTACCTGCAGCGAGGCTGGCAGCGGCTACTGGATGAGGGAGAGGGCTGCGGGCCCTGCCAGCCGGAGGAGTGCCCTACGCCGCGGGGCTGCTTGGCCGGGCGTGTCTTGGATGCGTGTGACTGCTGTTGGGAGTGTGCGAACCTGGAAGGCCAACTCTGTGACCTAGACCCAGACAGTCACTTCTATGGGCGCTGCGGGGAGCACCTGGAGTGTCGGCTGGACGCAGGCGGGGACCTGCAGCGCGGAGAGGTGCCCGAGCCCCAGTGCCTCTGTCGCTCCACAAGCCCTCTATGTGGTTCCGATGGGCGCACCTACGCGCAGATATGCAGTTTCCAGGAGGCTGCTCGGGCCTGGCCACAGGCCAACCTCAGTGTAATGCACCCTGGACCCTGTGAGACGGGTACGGTCCCTACCCTACCGGATTCCCCCCTACTCCCCCCCCCCCCGCCACTTGATCCCAGCCCTGTGCTCTAATTTTATAAAGAACTCAAAATCCCGTCTCAAATCCAGAATGGGGAACCACTCTCAATTCTGTACCATGGAACTTCCTCTCCACCCCACCCCCCACTCTGTACCTGGAAACCACTCCACCCCATTAACTCCCTACGCTGGAATAATATCTTCCCTATTTCAGCCTCTGAGTCCCCTCCCCATATTCCAGATGGGAACCTTTATCCAGGCATCGAGAACCCAGGGTCTGCTTCTCTACTTGGACCCTGACCCCTCTTCCCTCCTTGGCACCTTGGGGAGAGATTAATGAATTTGACACCACTAATTTTCCCCCACCACTAGAATGTCCACTCTGGTGCTTACCTCGGGCCCCCCCGCCCCAGTCTTTGGTTTCAGGTTGATGGTACCAGGTGCCTGTCCACAGTACTATATTAGGTGCAGAGAAAGATCCATGCCCAATTATGCAAGAATATTCTGGGCGTGACAGACATACAGACAAACAAGCTGCGTCCTCAAATGATCTCAAAGACAGAGAATGGGGGGAGGAGGGGAAAGTGAGGGCCCAGTGTAACCAGAGTCAACTTAGATCTATTGTTCCTAGTATCCTGGGAGCTAGTGGGTAAGGGAGAGGGGTAGGGGTGTGGCCAGGAGGGCAGTCCTAACCCTTGAGACTTAAAGCCTGAAAAACAGGAGTAGAGGGGAATTCTCAAATAGCAAAGAGAACAAAGAGTTAGCTCCCAGATTGTGTTGAGCTCTGTGCTGCCCCCACACCCAGGGGTTTGGCAAAAGGTGTGTGTGGATGCTCCTCAGGCTTCTCTCTCTGCTCCCTCCTCCCCCAAACCCCATTCAGGCACTAGGTTTGCTTTGGAGGATTTAGTGACTTTTTCTTCCCGAGGGGGGCTGGGCTCAGTGTTAGACTTGGCTGTAAGTCTACTGGCAAACAAACCCCAGGGGTCCGGGGGCCCCCTCCTTTTCCCCCTTCTGGCTTCCTGTCCCAGGGCCTCACTGGTGTCAAGTTTTCCCCTTGCCACATGGAAACCTGGAGGGGGAGGAGGAGGGGGAGGGGCTTTGAGCAACTCTGTGGGAACCCAGCCAGGTGTGAATAGGGGTGGAAGGCAGAAGTAACAGGGAGGTGGGCAACCAGGATGAGCTCTGACACACTGGGACAGGAGAATGAATCCCAGAGCCATCAGGTGTGTGTGTGTGTGTGTGTGTGTGTGTGTGTAAATGGTATGTTGGGGGGTCAGGAAGACAGGGTCCTAAAGCACCACCATGACCTCATTCTCACCTGTAGAGTCCCAAATCCTGTCCCCACCTAGGGACGTATGGAATGTGACTGGGCAGGATGTGATATTCGGCTGCGAGGTGTTCGCCTATCCAATGGCCTCCATTGAGTGGAGAAAGGATGGGACAGAGACACTGCTACCTGGAGATGATCCCCATATCTCTGTGCAGGTGGGGGCCTTGATGTGGTGTGTGAGGAAAGAATAGATCTCATCTCTTTAGAAAGGGAGGAAAGGATAGACCTCAGGTCTGTGCAAGGGAGATAGGAAACAGACTTCATAGAAATGTGTATGGGACAGGAGACTCTATCTCTGTGCAGAGAGGGGTGAGGAACAGATCCCATCTCTGTGGGAAGGGGCAAAAGAACAGATTCCGTTTTTATAGGAGGGGGGACAGACCCCATCTCTAAGAAGGAAGTGGGGGTGGGGCAAGGAAAAGGAACAGACCTTGTTTCCATAACAGATCATCTTTAAGGGTGGAGAGAGCCTCCCAGACTCTGCAGAGGGATTTCTGGGGGTGGGAGAGCGGGGACACACTCCACCAACTTCTTGTCTTACTCCAGTTTAGGGGGGGCCCACAAAGATTCGAAGTGACTGGCTGGTTGCAGATTCAGGCTGTTCGAATGAGTGATGAGGGCACTTATCGATGCCTTGCCCGAAATGCCATGGGCCAGACCACAGCGCCAGCAAGCCTCACAGTGCTCACCTTGGGTAAGGGGAACACTCCTTGCCCCTCCTTATCTTATCCCCCATTATTGGTTCCAAATGCACTGTTTTAGATGCCATAGAGAACGAATTATAGGATTTTCTTGGAGCTGATAATGGAATGGGCCTGAGGGTGGAGAGGGTCAGTAAACAACACCAAGTGTGCCTATTTCTGTGAATATATTTAGGTAGCCAGCCTAGTGCATTTGTGTGTGTGTGTGGGGAAACAAAACAAAAACACTTCCTTCTCTCCCTTGCTGATGTACAATGAACTTTCCTTTCATTCTTTGTTTTTGCAGACCAGCTGAACAACACGACTATCCCCCTGCTTAATTCTTGGAGCCCAACTCCTGAAGAGGAGGCTGACAGTGAAGAGGGGGATGACTATTACTAGACCCTGTGCCCACCTTCAATGCCCTCACCATGGCTTCCCTAAAATAATGTCCCACAAATGGTTCCTGGACCAGTTACCTTAGCTATCTTGAGCAATGACGATTCCCTCTCCTTTTCCCTTCCCAAATGATATGGGCAGTGGAAGGCTGGGGAAGGTGTAGGACATCTTACCCCTGATTTCCTTGAGTTGGAGATATCAGTAACCAACCCCTTGGGGGTGGGGGTTAAGGGAGAAGTCCTTTAAGGGACTGATCCCTTTCCTATCCACCAGCCCATAAAGAGGTGTCTTGAGGAACAATGATCTTCACTAGAGGCAGGGAACAAAATGGTCTGAGGTCTTCTGGGTCCCTTGCTGGAGTGGCCTAAATCGCAGAGGACAAAGGCTTGAAGGTAAAGGTGGCACATAGGCACAGAACCATGACAGTTACAGGAATCTGGGAGATAACCTAGTCCTGGAGCTGGTGGTGAGGACAGAAATGGGCAAGGCCAGGGACTCCTGACTCCATTCTGGGCCCTTTAAAACGCTCAACTTGGGGTGGAGGGAGAGGGCTAGGGCTGCTCTGCCTCCACTTTATTCAAAGTGTCTTGACTCCCCAAAATGCACAAACTGTCTTCACTCCTTTGATCTTACACACTCCTCTCCTCACCAACACACACCTGCATATTTTTTCCTATCTACCTCCTTTCCTTTCTGTAGCTGATCCCTCCCTGATGAAGCACCAGCAACCATTGTCTTCTATCCCACTCCCACAAGTTGTGTTTCATAACTTATTTGTGTCCATGTCATTTCTGCTATTGTCTGTATAGGTCTCATTTCTTTTATTACTTGTGTAAATGTCTTAACCTTTCTTACTAGATTGTGAGCTCTTAAAGGTCAGGCAAGGAAACCTCGATGTATAATATATTCACCTTTGTATTTCCACTCAGTTCCTAGCCTTGCATATGCATAAAAAAAGATGCTCAACAAACATTTGTTGAATGAATATGGTAAATATGCACAAACACAAAGGGACATACAAACACATACGTCAGTGTGTGTGCATATGTAAATACACATGTACTATATATAATTGATCTCTAAGATTTCTTCTGGCTCTAAATCCTATTATCTGATCTCCAGCACCCAAACCAATGCTTTGTACATAGGAGGTGCTTAATAAATGTCCTTTGAATGTTGAACAAGCTCTCATATTTGAATACCTAAGACCATATGCATGCATGCAAATAGGCATTTGTGCACATCATCTCATCACGAGATGCAATTAGCCTGGAGCTTCAGACACATGCTGACCAGATGACTCTCCCAACCCAAGAGGGCCTCCCAGAGGTGATGGGGGAGGTTTGGGTTCCTAGGGAGTTACTAAGCCTGAATTTTTTAAGTGGAATTCCTTATAACTGCTTTGTGTCTTGCCTCCTCACCCTATGCCCTGGACAGTAGATTTGGGTCCCATATCCTGCCAGAAGGTGTTTCCCCAAAGCATCTAAATCAAGAATAGAAAGAGATGTGATTTGTGTGTGTGTGTGTGTGTGTGTGTGTGTGTTTTGCAGCTTGGTCCAGACTAGCTGGATGAGATTCTCCCCAGATGTTCCCTCCCTAGGTAATTTAATGGAGTCTTCCAACCCCTCCTGAAAGGTATTCTTCCTGATTCCCATACTGTGTGCCTTCCTGAGACCAGACCAGCTCTTCCTAGCTCTTGACTCTGCCCACTCCTTCCCCACTCAGCCCCACCCTAGCTCCAGTTTTCTTTAATGATAGACTAAGCAAGAAAAAAATAAGACTGGAGCATGCATTCTTTGCCCACAGATTTTTTTTGAAGGAAGGTGTGACCTGGAAAGTATTCCCAAATTATAGGAATCCTCCTCATTCCTGAATCTCTTTCCCAGCTGGAGCTGGAATTGAACCTGGCCCTAGAGCTGATGGTGAGGACAGAAATGGGAAAGACCAGAGACTCTTGGATCCATGTCTGGGAAGCATCCAGGAGAGGGTTGGCTAAGAGCCTGAGATAGCCCATTAGTACTCAATAAGATAGGGTCCAGGAGAGAGGATTGGTATTGCTCTGACCCCACTCTGCTTCACCTCTGAGACCCTGATCAGGAAAAGGGGAAGGAAGTACACCAGAATGATCACACCCCTTCCTAGGGTAGAGGCTGGACCCTCATTGTCTATACCCGTTCACTCTGGCTTCTCTTTTGGTAACCAGGGATGGGAGTCCCCAAGACTGGGCTTAGACTGCAGGCCCTGGCCTAGAACTGGGGCTGATATGAATTTTGGCTATTGATTCCTAGAGCCCTGGTGGTACCTAGGCCCTGGCATGAACATGTCTGACCAGATGAGCCTGATGATAAAAACAGGCAAAATTGTCATTGTGTCAGAAGACTCTTCTAGAATTCAAGAGCTATACAAGTCAGTCACTATCCCATCCCCACTTCCTCCTCCATATATAAACAAGTGTAACCCCTTGTAGGAAGGAGAGGGTGCTCTATTCACTCCACAACTATTAATTGAGTACCCCTTAGATGTTAGGTGCTGTGTTCCTAAAGAAAAGGGCTCTGTTACCTGGGTCCTGAAGAGTTTATCTGTAGGGGACCTGGAACACTATACAGCTGTAGTAGAAAAATGCTCTGAAGTTCCAATGACTTCTTAGTTGCTAAATCTAATGGCCTTTTCTAGGTCTTCATCCTTTTTGATTGCACAGCAGTAGTGTTTAATATATGTATATGTATATGTATATATGTATATGTGTATGTGCATGTATATGTGTATGTGTATATATATATATATATATATATATATATTGCCATTCTTTCCTCCTGGATAATCTTTCCCTTATGAAGTTTCATGATATCTCTCGACTCTGCTACCTTATCCAACTGTTCCTTCTCAGTGTTCTTTGCTGGACCATCATTCATGTCCTGCTCCTCCCACCCTTGAAAGTGTAAGTGTATCCCAAGACCCTGCCTTCAGCACTCTTCTCTATGCTCTGTCTCCGACTTCACCACCCACTATGAATTCATTTAAAAATCCAGCCCTAGCCTCTCTCCTGAGTGCCAATCCCACATCCCTAACTGCCTGTTAGACATTTCTACCTAGATGTCTTAAAAGCATCTCAAACCCAATGTGTGTTGAACAGAATTCATTTTCTATTCCACCCCACCCCCATCACTCCCCTCTTCCTAACTTCCCATTTCTGTTGAAGACACAACCATCTGCCCTATCTCCCAAGCTCCCAACCATTGACTTTTCATTTCCCTTCCTTACCCACACATCCAGTTGCCAAGTTTTGTCCATGCTATCCCTATACCACCTCTCAAATTCATTTTCTCTCTACCCATATAGCCACCACCCTAGTTCAGGTCCCCTATCACTTCTCTCCTGGATTATTATAATACCCTCCAAATTGATCTCCCTTTCTGAAGCTTCTCTCTTTTCTAAGCTACCTCCCCTCATATGCCTATCAAAGGGATAATTCTAAAGCATAGGTTTGAAACTATGTCACTTTCCTCCTCAAAAATGCAAGTTGCTTCCTATTAGCTTTAATATAAATACAAATTCCTCTGGCATTTAAAGCCCTTCATAATGTCTCTAGACTATCTTTCCAGACTTAATATACATTACTCCTCTTCACACATGCCAAACTGGTCTTCTTGCTGTGCCTGACATAATTCAGTGTCCCACCTCTGCTCTTTTGAACAGCCTGTTTTCCTCACCTAAACCTCTTTGAACCCCTGGCTCCCTTCAGAGCTCACCTCAAGTATCACCAACATGTGACCCTTTTCTGAATTCCCTCTAGAATGATGCTAGTACTGGAGCCAATAATCTTGTATTCACCTTTATGTATTTTGAATTTACTTATATGTGTGCATATCAATTCACTTACAGAATCTAAGTTCCTTGAAGACAAAAAAGTTCCTGTTTTGTTTTCACAAAGCCCTAGCACCTACCAGAGTTCTTGGCACGTGGTAGGTGCTTAATAAATGTTTGCTGGTTGCTTGTTGATTGACGGTTCAGATTTAGGGTCAGAAAACCTGGCTCTGGAATTGACCTACCTTGTGCAGATCTCTTCCTTCAAGGCCTCAGTTTCTTTATCTGTTAAAGGAGGAATTGGAGTAAATCTTCAGAAAAATCTAAATCCAACAATCCTGCCCCGTCCTGAGTGTTCCTGACTCATGAGTCCCAGAAGGCGAGACGCCACCTGGTGGTCATTTGTGGCCTCTTTTCCATCTCCAGAGTTCGGAGACCGCCACCAAGAAAGGGTTGCTCGCCTCCACCGCATCTCTCCAAGGTTAAAGACTCTAGGGAGGTCCTAGGTCTCCGGATCCTGCTCCTAGGTGGACTGATATTCCGTGTGGACAGGGCAGCCGGCTCTGAACTGTGCTGGGAGCTTTGCCTGGCCTCAGTTTTCCCCCTCTGCAGCCTTCTGCATTGCAGCCTTATGATCAGTGGGAGAAGGCGGATTCCCACTTCCCCTTCTCCACTTCTCTCTCCTCCTCCCCTTCCTCCCTCACCTCCTCCTCCTCCTCCTCCATCACCTCCTTCCTCACCTTTCCTTCCTTCTCCCCCTCCTTCTCTTCCTCCTTTTCCCCTCCCTCTTCTCCTTCATGTTCGCCACTCTTCCTCCCCTTCCCTCTCCTTCCCCTCCTCCTCCTCGTCGTCCTCCTCTTCCTCCCCCCTTCTTACTCCTCTCCTTCCCCTCACCGCCACCCCCTCCCCCAAGCCCCCACAAGCCTGCCTCGGCTCTGAAGGCGGGCGGGCTTTAATAACGTCGCTGGAAAGTGACACGCGATTTATTATTAAAGCAAAGCGGGGCGCGGGGACGGGAAGAGTTTAATAAACGCGCGCTGTTGCCGAGGATTATTCACGGCAAATAAACTAGAGCACGAGCGGTGTTTTAATAAATAATTTCCCGCCGCTCCCGGGGGAGACGAGGAGGAGGCGAGGAGCTGAGCCGCTTGGCCTCTCCTCCCCGGGGGACCCTGGGGTTGGTCCCGCGCTCTCTGCCCGAGGTTGGAGCTCCCTTAGCCTAGGCGCCCTTCTCCCGAGGAGACCTGGGATCAGCAGGGGCTCCCAGGGGATGTGGGGAAGGACGAGCGAAGCTTTCCTCTCCCGACCTAAGCTCGGACAGAGCTTTGCCCAGCCCAAACCTCCTACCCCTGTCCCTTGTCTACTCCAACCTCTCACCCCCCATCCCCCGTCCACTCTCCAGACTAGCCTGTCCTAAGTTCCTTTGCTCTGGAAAAGACTAAAGGGCTTTCCTTCTAGCACCAAAGCGGGGATCTTTAGACAGGCATCGCGCTGGAGAGGGAAGGGTTAATGGGAGAGTGGGCTTAAGAGAGAGGGTTTGAGTCTCCAGAATCGCGTCTTTTCCTTTCCTCTACCACGACCACGGCTGGAGCTCCCGGTTCCCGTGGCTCCGGGTATGTTCGATGCTGGAGATGAAGAGAGGATCCTGGACCGCTGAAATTGACAGCTCCTGTTCGCCCTGGGACTGGGGACTCAGATACTAGTTAATGCTTGAGGGACACCGAGATGGAGGAAAGGGGGGTGCTGGGGGAACCCCTAGGATGAGAGCCTATCTGCATGCAGCTTAGAAGCCAGAAAGAGGCCCCTGGACCCACCCTGGGGCCATCGGACTGGAGGTGTGAATGGGACTGAAGGAGGAACCGAATTCATTTCCCTGGACCATCTGAGGCTGTTGCGTGACGACTGCTCAGTCTGCTACGAGGCCCCTACAGGGACCTCGGGGTAGGAACGCTAGACACTTAAGGGGATGAAAGAGCTCCATCTGGTGGTCAGAAAACTGGGACCCAGGTCTACGCAGTTCGTGTAGTTGGGCAAAGGAAAATAAGATATCAGGCCCTTTGAGACCTAGGCTGGGTCACAGTTTGTGTAAGTGTATTATATGTGCTTAAGTGCATGGACATGCAGTTGTGCATATGCGAACGTTTGCTCTGCTCACACAGGATCCTGTATTTAGAACCGGAAGGAGACCTGAGAGATCATGTAGACTAACTCATTGAACAGATGAGGAAACTCCCGTCCTTCCCAGAGCCACAATGTAGCCCAGGATCAGAGGTGGCGAACCTGTGGCTGTGAAGTTTGTCTTCAGTCAAAGTGCCGCATTTGAGGACTTAGAGGGCCACATGTGGGCTTCAAGGCTTGCAGGTTCCCCACCCCTGGCCCAGGTTCTTTGGTGTCAAATTTAGAATCAGGATTCCAAATGCAAATTCCAGTTCCAAATTCCAGATGGGGTTGGCTATCTGTCTACATAGCTCATTGGATAGGGCGCCAGCTTTGTTAGTTCAAATCTGACCTCAGTTACTTCCTAGCTGTGTGACCCTGGGTAAGTCACTCATCCCTGTTTGCCTCAGTTTCCTCATCTGTAAAATGAACTGGAGAAGGAAATGCCAAATCACTCCAGTATCTTTGCCAAGAAATCCCCAAATGGGGTCAGGAAGAGTCAAATACGACTGACCAGAGAATAGTTGGCTATCTACTACCTCACACAGCCTGTACAAGGATGACACTCATAAATGGGCCTTTTGGTATTTGTAAGTGTTCTAGATTATGTATTCATGCTGCGTATATACATATACATATAAACATCTGTAATTGCAAGGATGTGTATCTATGTATACATATACGGAGGCACATGTACATTTGTGTTGTGTATTATAGGCACATTTGGAGCACTGTTCTATGTTTGTGCTCCCCTTGTATTGCTTATTGTCTGTGTGTATATATGGTACTTTGTAGCTATCTGAGTGTACATCATAGTCCTGCAGAGTGCATTGGCCAGATGTTGTTAGTACATGTGGCCCATACTCTATGCTCAAATATGATGCACATATTATGTGTATGAGAATGCCTAAATCCTTCCTATGATATTAATTTATGAGTGCATGCTTGTTGTTGGGGAGATGGGAGGGATGTTGGGGCTACAAGGCCCTAGACTTCTGGACTGTCTGTATTGAATCTCCCCCTCCCCCTCCCCCCCTTGATGTAGTTTTATGACTAATCAAGTCTTGCAGGATAGGCAGGAGGTGGTGAATTCTGGGAAAATTCTCTCCCTCTTCCCATATTTTCTTCTTCCTACCTATGGTCTGGCTCTCTCTTTAATCAGGGGATGGGGGTAGAGGTTAGGGTCAGAGTTTTCAATAAGGAAAGATAACTAAGACTCGGGTTTCTGAAGACTATCTTTCCTGGAGTTTGACCAAATCCTGTACTTTTCTTAGAAGTAAGCAGTTGAAATTAGGGAGGGAAGAATCAATCCAATACAATAATCAACAGGTCTATAAATACCTTGGGGGAGGGCTAATGATTGAGGTCTTAGGGGGGCAGTGATGAGGCCCTGAGGATCATTGATCAGGACACTTACTAGAGCTATGATAGAATCCTGAGCTTGCAAAAGTGATATAATCCTGTTGGGAGGGTGGTTGTAGGGCAACAATGGAGGCTCTGGAAAGAAGAGTCCAGAAGAGTCAACCATATGGTACCAGTGGACAATGATGCAGCTTGAGAAAAGGCAGAGATGTGAAATTGTGGTAGGGTTGTAATGGGATAGAGAAGTTACCCATCTCCCCGTCTTCTCCCACCCCTACCATGCTAGAACCCCAGTGACCCTGCATGGCCTTGTTTCTTGGCCCAGCTGAGCAGGATATGCTTAGAAAGGGAGCTCCATGTTTCAGGGCTAAGCTAGGCTTAGGTGAGTCACTGCCCAGGGTGAGGCTGGGTGGGGCTGTCTCTCACAGCAGCACTGTCCCATGAATCAGCTGAAACGGGTCTCTGTGACTGGCCTGGATCCCTACAACAGCCCCAGGTCAGGAAGCACTCACGAAGGAGGGGCTGGGGGATCCTGCAAAAGGTCATTGAACTCTTTCTAGTAGACCCCTCCCTTCCCTTTCCCCCCAGCTGAAACAGTAAAAGTACTTCCTAAATAGCTGATCTCCCTTGTATTTTTTCCATCTTTCCCTTCTATCCTTCCTTTCTCCCTCCCTCATTCCTTCCTTCCTTCCTTCCTTCCTTCCTTCCTTCCTTCCTTCCTTCCTTCCTTCCTTCCTTCCTTTCTTCCTTCTCCCTCTGGATTTCTCTTTATATCTTTTTCTATGTTCGTTCTGCCTGTTTGTTGCTGTCTCTTTTTCTTTCTCCCTTTTTTATCCTTTCTCTGTGCCCCCACCTTTTCTTTCTCTGTCTGTGACCATGTGTCTCTGTGGGGCTGACTTTTTGGCCCTGCCAAAGTCACAAGGCTTCAAGTCACGTCAATAAATCATGGCCCATATCTCCCCCTCGTTTCTCATCTCTGTACAATATGTTTAACATACTCTCTATGTTTCAGTGTATTGTGTTCTCTAACCCTGCATCTCCCATATTTCCTGTGTCCTATATGCTCCAAGGCCTGTGTTTTGCACTACCCATGGACCTCTACTCACTATATTCACCCTCATCTCTTTTTTCTTTCCCCCTCTGGGGAAAGACCTGACAATATTGGGCCTTGGATTCTTTCCCGAGCAAATAAATTTACTTCAGCTGGTGGGAGGGGGGGTAGTGGTAGCAGTGTGGGGTGGTGGTGGAGGTTTAGGCTTCTGAAGGGAGCTGGGGCCTTGAATTCAAAGTGAGAAGCTTCCTGAAAAGTATATGGGCTTATTTCAGTCCCTTTGGTCAATCCTTCATGAAGAAGACTTTAGGGGCAGGACACTAGTGGGGAAGCCCTTTGGAGGAAGAGGGAGTGGTCAGTGACTGATTTTCCAAATAACTTTTCCTCTAGCCCCCACACTGGGGTATAGATCAGAGCCTTTCTGGAGATGTTAGAATCAGGAAGTGGGATGGGGGTGGGGGAAAGCTACCCCTCCTCCACTTTCCATTCATCTCTTTTTATCTGTGGTGCTGAAGGGCCTGAGCTCCACTGGGGCTGCTGATGGGGAACAGAGACAGGTCCAAGCGGAAGCCATCAGGACCTTGCAAAGCCTGAGCCGCCAGCGCGGCCTGGGGGTCAGTGAAGACAGATAAAGCTCAGAGTTGGGGGGGGTAGGTGGGAAAGGAAGAAAACATCCTTCAAACCATAGAGACAAGCTGGCAAAGGACCAAGAAAGGGCTTTTCTTGGGGCAAGGGTGGGGGAAGGGAGGGAAGCCAGGCTCCCTCTCCATGACATTTGAGCCCACTCTGAGAGAGGTCCTAGAAAGTAAAGGTCCCCATGAGCCCACTGTACAGAAGATACCACTGAGAGCACTCTTTTTAGGTAGAACTGAGGATAGAAAGCAGAAATACTGGGACTAGAACTAAGATCTCCTCCAT